TTTTAAGAAAGTTCATCTGTGTAAAACCATTTATTTCATGCACTTTATGCTCTTGATTGCCGTATACGTCTCTGAAATTTACAGCCTAGACCCTATATTTCATAAATAGTGAAAAAATTACTGTAAACCCTATATTGATCACATGTTTATCAAAATGTTGTTTTTCTACGTTTTTATCACTCTCTGTCATCCTGCAATAATTGAAGACAGATAGAGGATGTCAGAGAAATACATCTGAAGATGTTGATTTGGTACGTTATGTACCTTTTGACCAAATGACTTCATAATTAGGTATTTTAAAAAAAAGGTATAAAGAGAAGAATCCATAGGTTTTAGGCCACTTAATCAAAATTCACTTGCAAAATATGGAGATAATTCTGTTTGCTGGATGATAAAAAAGAACATTTATATTGATGTTATTTTTTTTTAATTTAATATGATCATGTATATGATCAAGGGGCTCAGGGATGGTGTGACCGGTCAACAGGGGATACTTACTCCCCTATGACACCTGATCCACCTGTGATGTTTTTAGAGGTCCATGTTTGCTCTGCTCCCATTTTGTATTGCTTCAGTTGGCTTTTTGGGCTATCAATTGTCAATACTTTTGGCTATGAAAGGCCTCATTCCAATCCTAAATTGAACATTCAGGGCTCTCACACCACTTTTTGGGACTGGGGCCGGGGCCGTTCAAATTGGGAAAATTATCGTCATTTTGGGAAAAGTTGGATGACCAACATTCATTTTAAAAAATTCTCCAATTTTCCTTTTCTAGCATTTTGTCATCAATTTAACTCTAGTTTTGAATAAACAGTTAACAGAACAAACATTAGTAAGGCAATTTATGAAAGTACATTAGCTTTGTCATAACTGTCTTTGAGCTTTGATATTGCGGTTATTTGTCATTCTGAGTGACAGTCGCTAGTCACATAATCCCGAATTTCCTCAATCACATGATCATCGTTGCTTACCAAATTCAGCACAATAATGAACATGCTGAATCGTGGGTATGTTTCTAGGTGTAGCTTACTAATGTTTAAATGAAATGTCTATTTTTGAAACCAAAATGATGTTTTTTTGTTATACATAGTATAACATGTATATTCATAGTTATACATTTCTGTAATAACACTAACCTGGTTCCCCTAACCAGTTTACGAATGCACTTGGCGTGGACTAATTGATAGTCGTACATAGAACTAGTTTGTTTCACTTTCATTTACAAGTGTGTTTTGTTTTGGGGTTTTTTTTTGCAATTAAGTTTCATGGACTTTTATTTTTTAATTAATATTTTGCTATGGAATTTTGGAAATTTACACCTTTCTTTTGGGAAAAAAGGTACCTTTTTTGTCTTGGGAACGAGCCAAGTATCGAACCATTTTAGAGAATCGAGAGCCCTGGACATTTTTTTCCAATTGAATGCAATAACTCTCCAATAGTCATTATCCATTAAAATTTAAAAAATAATATTTTGGATAAAAAATAAACATGGTAAATTAACCTACTACTCAAGCTTCTGCATGTTTCAGAATGTAAATGTTGGTAAAATCAAACAATAGAATCCCCAATAATTTTGTAATAATATATTATGTTGTTTCTCCCAAAATTCTCAAAAAGTCACCCTGGCCCTGTATCAAAAAGGATGTGAAAGCCCTGACATTGGAGCTTGAGTTTTGCTTATTATCTCCATATTTTACTGAAATATGTCGACATTTTTCTGGAATGTCAGTAAAAGTATATCTGTCAACACTTTATTCTCGTTTAAATGTGTACAACATTTAATGGTAATATTTCTGACCATAAAAATTGATTTTATCATTGCCTTAAGAACAAGGGTAACGGGGAAATATACTACCTGCTATCTACTACATCTCTTATTTATTGAAATCAACAGGGTAATAAGCGATCAACAAAGAACAAGGAAAAATAGCACCACACACTTAAATTCTTCTTACAATTGAGGAAAGCAGCTCCTTTTTTTACTTGAATTTTTAATCAAATTTTTACTTAAACTTGAAATTCAGGACAATTTTTTATTCCTCCAATAAAACTTAACATCAGGTTGTGTAAATGACATGACATTTATAACGTTGTAAATTCTCTGATAAAACATCTGGAGATCGCTGTTTTTCATAGCTGTCATTATTTAGCTGTTTAAGGACAAATAGTATTTGTCTCAGTGATTAAGTTAACATGGTCTGTTTAATTGGATCAGGACTGAATAATTCAGTGTAGACCTCTGTCAAGCAATATTGATTTTCAGGTTTTATTATGAAATTTTTCATCATATGTTTACCTGAGAAGATCTTTATTTGTACTGTCAGCTTTTATGATTACCATTACATGCTGTATATTGAGGGAAAAGTCATCAATAGTGCCAAGATATTAATTTACATTTTGGGATCATCAAGAGTTCCTATATCTAATTATGTTAATTAATTTATTACCAAAAGATGATGATAAATAATTTTTTTTTTTTTTTTTTATGTTAAGTTTTTTCTACTCTTACTTGTATTTCTCATAATTATAGTTTTTTTGTATTTTTCAAATCTTCTATTTGTAGATTACAAAATACGGACGGGATAATCTCGGATGGTCACGGTAATTACTCGGAGGACAATAAGTGTACGTGGCTCGTGGACACGGGGCGGGAGAACATCTCTTTGTGGTTTCAGTTCCATCAGTTCTCCACCGAGTGTGGCTGGGACCACCTCTATATCTACGACGGAGACTCTGCATTCTCTCCACTACTGGCAGCTTTCAGGTAATGGAACTATTAAAGTTTTTAATAAATTTTGTTTCCTTGTTTAAAAGGGAAGAAAAAGCTTTTTAGAATAATTTTTTCCGTGTCAAATATAAGGGATATTTGACTTGTATATGATAATTCTCTACCATTCTATGTATTTCTTAATGAATTATTGTTGTAGTGGTCTAATACATAAGGATTACACGTCCACCACTGAATTACAAGAGATCCGTACCAGCTCAGGCAAGGCTTACCTGTACTTCTACAGCGATGCGGCGTACAACATGTCGGGGTTCAATATTACCTACAGGTACATACACTCTCAAGATTGTCAGGTCTGCTTCATTTCCTGACTTAAATTAATGCTTCTCTGTAGGAAGCCCTCTTCCCCTCCCCCACCACAACAACAAAGAAACTATGGACACAAATAATCACTGTCCAGAATTTATACTATAGGAATAAGTTTATGAAACATTGCATATCTAATGATTGAACAATTATTTAATCTGATAAAAGCCTGACAAAATCTTGATTTATTAACAAAGTTTTAAAACTTCCAATTGTTATTGTGATTTTTTTTATTCCTAGGACTGGTGGTTGCCCTAAGAACTGCTCCGGGCGGGGGGCCTGCTCAGGGGATATTTGTGTTTGTGACGCGGGGTACCAAGGGGAGGATTGTGGTGACATCATCTGTCCCAGTAACTGCTCCCTCAATGGGGACTGTGTCAACAACCAGTGTCAGTGTCACGCGGGATTTACAGGTTTGTTATTAATTTATTCCGTCTCGCCTTTGTTAATGATGGCAAGGTAACATGTCTGGCATTTTTGAATAGAAACTACAATAAATGAAATGAATGTAGTACCTAACAATAAGAAATGCAGAATAATTGAGGTTCCATCTTAATTTTTCATAAAGCACATACATATGCTTTGTTTATAATATCATGCACATGGTATATAAAACATATAAAGCAGTTTTTTAGATATACATCCAATTGAATTTGCAGGAGCTGACTGCAGTTTGACGGCTGATAAGGCCTCCTGGCAACTGAGGTATCTGGAGAATGACCTCCTGGCCCGAGTGTCTTCGGGGGTGGCAGCCATCGGGGAGGATATTTATCTAGTCGGGGGATACTTCTTCAACAAATCTCAAGAATTCCTTGTTAAGTAAGTAGAGCAAATGTACTAGTGAAATCAAGTCCATGAAATAGTCCCCCTGATCTGATTTAGTGAATGATTCCTTAATTTAGTCATCATCCCGTTATATTGGACTTCAGATTAATTTGTTATACCCCCGCAAACGAAGTTTAGGGGGGTATATTGGAATCAGCATGTCCGTCTGTCGGTCTGTCTGTCTGTCTGTAGACAAGATTTTGTCCGGACTGTTACTCAGAAACTATTGGATGGATTTGTCTGAAAATTTGTACACTTATTATTCACCATATGAAGTTGTGCACCTGGTGTTTTCATCATGATTGGGTAATTTTTCTGCATTTTACAGGTGTTTTTTCTTTTTTATTTTATGGTTTTGTTTGGCTCATAACTAGAAAACTATTAGACTGAAAATCATCAAACTTGGACAGTTTATGCATCTTGGGTAGAAGGTGTGTCATGACCTATTTTAAGGTCACCGTGACCTTTAATTTAAGTGAAATTTTAAAAAGAAACCTGTCTTTTACTATTGAATTACACAATCCCAAAAATGTAAGAGTGTTTCTGTATCCCTGTTTATAAAATGTTAGATTAAGAAAATAATATTTTTTCATTATATACTTTACAGCAATCCATATCAAGTGTTATTTTATAAGAGATAATCTACCTCTCCCAAGGGTATAATTATCAAGCACTGGTCAAGGAGAATTTTGATAACAGAAAATTGCATCCCTTGGCATTTATCGGTGGACATGCATCCAGTCAAAGATTAATTAATGAGTTCAATGTAGGAAAGATAGCTGTCTCAATCATTTCTGTTAGCTGTTATCTCTGATTAAGGTCCTTTGGGAATTAGACAGAGGAACTGCTGGTCAGTTTAAATAGCATATGTCATTTGATGGCCAGCCTTCTATTTCTAAAATCAATTTGTTATAGATTAAGTTTTTAATACTAATTAGTTAAATTGATATATTAAAAAAAAAATTAAAATATCAAGTAACAAATTTCAGAGCATCACCCCACATGAAAGATATATGCATATGTGTTTGTTTGTGGGGGAGGAGCATTTGTCAAGCTATAATGCAACCATTTGATGATTTAATGCTTTCACCACAGGAGATCTTTAAACAAATATCAAAAGAAAAAAAAAATTATGGAAATCCTTTTAAAGGTTGCCATGATTTCCTCACACTCTAAACTGTTTATATTAATTGAATGAACAATATTTGACTGGAGTATCATGCTGTGTTTGGTACTTTATTATTTTTAAAATGAATTTAATATAAAGTTATAAAGATTAATTTGATTCTGTATAATATTTCTTTTTTCAACAATTATTTTTCAGAGTAGCATGACAAATAATTGCAATTTCTTTTTTTAATGAAATTAAAAAAAAAAAAACTGTTACAGTGTATTAGTATTGATGTTTTATTTGGTTGCACCTTAGATTCATAAATTGAAAAAAATTAATGAGCATGCAATTATATTTTCACTGCAATTATATTTTCACTCGATTTGTTTTAAGACAATAGTGAACACCTCTTAATAGATCCATAAAATATTTGTGAATTGGCACCTACTCTGAAAAAACACAGCGGGGGTATTTGTCCCTATTGGACAGTTCTAGTTCTTCCTGTTACAGGTATAAAACATCCTCCAAAGATTTAGAGGTTGTCAGTCCGGTATCATTACTGAGCCCCCCTCCTCGGTATGGACACTCAGTGGTGGCATACCAGGTATGTTGTTCATAGTTAGGTCTCTCAACACAAAACATTTGACAAATTAGTCTCTGTAACATCTCTTTTCCTTACAGAAATTAATGTAGATTTTTATGTTTCAGTCTGTTTTGAATTTGCAGAATTTAGTTACATGTAAATACAAGTTTGCTAGGAAATTGTTTTACCGTATAAGTGGAAATATTAGCAAGATGCATATTTAGCAATTTCTACCTAAAATCTGGTATTTTATTTTTAGCGAGAAGTAATTTTAGCGATTTTAAAATGATAACTAAAGAAGCTATTACAAATAATACGTAATTAATTTTTTGCGATATTCAATTTTAGCGATGTCAGAACCCTCACTAATAATGCCAAAATTAAATCCTCGCTAAACATTCTACTTATACAGTAATTGTTTACAGCTGTAGTTTTGATTGAAGGTTTATGATAAGTTAGTAGAAATGAACAGTTTCTTGGTTGAACAGGAAGATAAAACCCTTTCATGTAATATACATACATTTACAGAACAAGTTGTACGTATTTGGGGGAGTGGAGGGCAATGTAACGTCCCGCGATCTGTGGATATTTAACACGACAGCCCTGACCTGGTCCGTACAGCATTACAACAGTACCGTACCCATACCAATGGGGGTGGCAGGCCACACAGCTCACATTGTCAGGGGGGTTATGTATGTCCTCTTTGGTTACAGTCCAATCTACGGCTACCAAAACAGGATCCAGGAGTACAACATAGGTAGGCAGTATGGAGGTACAGATACCTCTGTCTGTGTGTGGGCGTGTATCTGTGCAGGGGGACATACCTTGTAAATTGGGTTCAAAATCTAACATACAATGTTTTGAAAATATTTCATCGTTAGTGTGGAATTGAGTTATAAAACTTAGCTGGTCATCTTCCAAACCGGTTATTCATACATACATGTATGGCTGTTTGGGGAGTGCACCTGTTCATATGTAGAAGTTGAATGTTGATAAGGGCACCTTAAAGTGACCGTTGATTTTCTCTTGTTTGAAACTTATGGGAGCATTGTAAAATATCTGTTATAAACTTTTGTAAATGGCATCTAATTCATGATGATAACTACATGTATATTTGTCAGTGTAATGTATCTCATGGTTAAGAAAATAAATTTCACTGTTTATAGGTTTCTTTCTTGTATATAGAATATTTATTTATTAAAATTAATTGTAGCCAATGAGAGCTGGAGCGTTCCCCGGACACGAGGAGCGCTGGTCCAGGGAGGCTACGGTCACTCTAGTGTGTACTACCCCGCCCTGGATAAGATCTATATCTACGGGGGGTATCACGCCCGCAGCACCTCAAACTACGACCTCACTGATCAGCTGTACTCGTTTGAACCCGCTACAAGAACCTGGTAAGTTGGGTTCCTTTTTTGGGGAGGAGGGTTGACAAAATAGGTCATTCATTTTCAAATTGTTATTTTCAATGCTTTAGATTATGTCCAAGTATGACTACTAATTAAAAAATATGTTTTAAAACAGGATAAAATTACGTCGTAATCAGCTTCCCCGATACCTACACTCGGCGGTTATTATTGACGGTATGATGATTGTGTTTGGGGGGAACACCCATAATGACACGTCTATCAGCCTCGGGGCCAAGTGTTACTCACCGGACGTGTTACAGTACGACATCAGTAAGTCATACGGACATCAAGAAATGAATAAAATTACTTTGTAAATACTTGATTCTGCATTTTGCAGAACAGTGTATAATAAAACTTGTGTACACCAGTGTTTACTATATCATCATTACTTTCTGCACTAGTGATATTAACTCATTGTTTATGTATAGTTGAATTATGACTTATTTCTCTTAAAAGAGATCACAGTTAAGATATGTAATGTAACTGGGAAATATATCTCTTTTCTTACTTCAGAGTGTAACACATGGTCCCAGCTAAACTCCTCTGTCCTGGCGTCACAAGGGGCTCGTTATGGTCATTCAGCGGTCACAGTCCACAGGTCAGTGTAGAAGTAAACTCAAGATTAAATCCCAAAGGCTATGTTGTTAACACTAATGGAAATAAGTTTCCTGTTGATATAATTGAAATGTGAAATTCAGGACACTTGTGTATTGATTATAGGAATGGTAGGACAGAGATGCTGGTACTGGGGGGATTCAGTGGAATCATGGAACCTAATGCTCTTCTTCTATCACCAGGTAAACCACAGTGTATATTAAACACCAGAAATCGTAGGAAATTCAAGATCATATATATAATTATTTAAACCAGTACTTGAGACATTCTTTTGAGAGTGCCTCCAGAAAATTATGTGATTTTTACCTGTACTTCTTTAATTAAGTTTTATTCACCTGTATCCTATAAGTTTGGTTCAGCTGTACTTTTTTACTGCAGGGAATTGCTCCTATTACACAACAAGAGAGGACTGTTTGGGGTCGGTACAGGGAAGGTCATGTGTGTGGGCAGGGGGACTGTGTGTCTCCTTGTCTGACCCCAACGCTGGCGGCGCCGAGGAGAAGCAGTGCGATCCCACGGAGGGTAAGTAACAAATTAGGGATGATATTAATGGGCAGAAGGGCTGCGGAAAAATTTCTCTTATGAAAGAGGAAATTTTATAACAACTTTCTGGGTAAATTTTTTTTATAGTTTCAGGAACTTCAGTTTGCATAATGATGTCTTGTTTTACATGTATAGTGATATTGTTTTGTACTTAATAAAAGTGTATGAATTCATGGACAAATAAATCAGTAATAAAAAGTTGGTTTTCAAACAATCGTCAGTCATTTGACTCTTTTGCTAGAAAAGGTTTAAATCAATGTTAATGCAGGTGATGATAATGTACAATATATATTGTGGCTGTATACTGTATATAGGTGGTGATAAGCAATGTGGTTCCTTCACGACGTGCCCCACCTGTCTGTCCACCGCCTACAACTGTGTGTGGTGTGTTCATAACTGCACTGCGGCAGACCAGTGTACCAACACCAATCAGATGGTAGGAAAATATATATACACAATTGAAATAATTATCATAGAGGCTAAAATTTAATTTTTTATATTTGACAATTTTAAGTTTTCTTAAAATGATCTAAGTGTATATGAAACCAAAGTTTTACTATTGATATTTTATAAGTTATCTACTGCGTAAAGAAAGAAAAATGCCAATTTTTATGACTTGTGAAATTGTAAATAACATTATGGACTCTGATCCCTGACTTGAGAGGAGTAACACTCAGCCTAGCTTTATGTTGTACATGTACTTATTTATAAAATTATATACACACCGAAACTTCACTACTTTACAGTCAAGGGGGAAAACCTGTCTCCATACATCCATTTAAAAAAGCAATGTACTGCACATGAACTTTTTTCATCAAAAGGAGACCAGCACCTTTTAAAATTTTACAACATTGTCAATCTTTATTCACTTGTTATTCTTCATTTGCATCAAATAAAGCTCCTTCCAAACAGAACACCATTTAGATACCCCCCATAGCCTTGAAAACATATATCTTGCTTCATTAGCTGTATGTTATTTTGTTGTTGCACATTTGAGCATGTTGAGTTTGTGTGGCTGTATTTTTGTTTTTTGGGTTGCTTTTTCTTTTTCTTTTTATTGTTTCTATAGAAACCCGAGTCAGCCAGCGACCTTTCCCAGTGCCCCATTCAGGGAGAACCACCCTGCGCTGAACAACACAAATGTCAGGGGTGTAACTCCTTCCCTGACTGCCGGTGGGGGGCTAGTGGATGTACCAAAAATGACCAACCCAAAAATGAGAAAAATGACACCGGTTAGTATTCTAAAGGACCAATTTTTATCTGTGTGGATCATTAATGTTGGTGGGGGACCAAAGTTTGTGGATTTGGTGGGGTCATCCTTACCCACGAATTTATATCCCTATGTTGTAAATATATTGATTCACTGAATTTACTGGTAAATGAGTAACCCACAAACAAGTAAAATTTTGATTGTCCACTAGCATTGGGCAATCAAATTTTACAAATTAAAATAATTCTACTGTGTTTCACTATCATTTAGAATAATTATTGAACCCTAGTTTTCTTTTGTAAATTATTAGTTTTGTAAACCCTTGAAAATAATTATGAAACTTTTAAAAACCTCTTATCAATCATACTTTTCTATGGCTAATTTTGCTTCTGGATTGAGTCTTCACAATTGGTTAATTTCAAATATGTAGGTTAATTTGACCTGAAGATATAAGAATGAATTTTTGGCCCAATTTCTTCTTTACAATAGGTCTTGATCTTGACCTACTGTAAGGTGTAATACTCTGTGACTGGTTGTCAGTATATGGTATGGGAGATAAGAACAGTTTCTGTTTGCTGTTCTGTATTTACTTTAGTCATTTTTTTCCATGTTATGTGTAGACGATCATAAACTTTTTGTGCAAATGGAAAATCAAGTAATCTGAATAATTGTATACCATGGATTGAGCTTAAATTGTGATTTCCTGGAAATATACCATATGGGGAAAAAGTGCATTTACAGTGGTTTAGTTGCATATCATTTTTCTCTTTCTTTAGAACCCCAGTATGTTTCTTGATTAACTTCGGCCAGTATCAGAAGTTGACCCATTTTATCACAAGTCTTAGTTTATCTGGGTTTTTTTTCTGTAAAAATATCAGCCTGCAAACTTATGATAGTCATAAATCCTCATATTTCCTTTTCAAAAACTGTTTAAATTGACACAAACCATCCTGATTTAAGAAGGATTTAAATTTATAAAGTGAAGGGTCAGAATCTAAGGGACATAAGTTTCAGTTTTCCTCGGGAACTAATATATGCCGAAAACTTCCTATGATTAGTTCTTCAGTTTTCCTAAAGATAATGCACTGAAAGCCTCTACCTGATGTTTGTCAGCCATGCCTTAAGATTTCTCAGACATTTGACTTTTCAGTGAGGAAAATACAATAACCCTAGTCAGTGTAAAGCTAAAAAAAAAGTCGTCCAAAAAGTTTTACTAGGGGGATAGATGAAAAAATGTCTTTAAAATTACTTCAGTACAGTGTGTCAGAAAATTATGGAAGTATGTGGTACAATGTGTATGTAATACGGTTTAAAATTCTTCAAATCTGAAAAAGTGAAGTGTTTCATACTTCTATTATATTAAATATGCTCTCTTCTTTGTATATATCACCAACTTTTAAGTTTTGTCACAGTTTTTGTCTCTTTCACTTTGGTTTAATTGCTTTTGATGTTGTGTTTTTTTGCATGATTTTTTGGAACAATTATTTTGTGGTGTTAGTGAGGAAAAGTAAAAATTATCTTCTGAATTAGAACAAAAAGAAAACTTTGGGTTTGTCCAGCATAAAGTCTGAGATCGCAGTGTTACTCCTCCCAGGGATTTAACAAGATCCCACACGGGTGTTGTTAGTTCCGCTTGACTGATTTTTAGATCACTTCTGCCCACACTGGCCGGTGTCCCTCTAAATACAGCAGTGTCTGTTCTCTCTTCCACAACTGTGTGGCCTGTGTACAGTCCAAATCCTGCAAGTGGAATCAGACCGTCAAAGAATGTCAGAAAAGATCACATACAATTGGAACTCACTGTAAGAATGGGTAGAGGTTTCAGTTTGAAGGGGGGATAAATCTTTTTAAAGGGAGATAATTCTCTAAGTTGAGAGATAAGTCTTCTGTGAGTAAGGTTTCTAGGAATCATTTATTATCCCATTCCTCACTAAGGACATACGCAAGGTACCTTCCCTACTGATAATTTTTCAAGATATTCTAAATTTAAATTTATAATACCATTACATTTTCTTAGACAAAAAATCAGCATGCGTTACCAGGGGTTTTGAAAAGATATCAAATTATGAAAATGTTTGCATTATTCAAAGAAAAATAAACAAAAATTTCAAAACATAATTTCCAAATATTTTTTCCATCAAAATTTATATTAGAAGAGGTGTACAAATTCTTGTATAAGGGCATTAAAAGTATTACACACAGGTCCTTCATTTAGTGGAACTCTTCAACTCCAGGGAAGAACCTAATAAAGTCCAAACTACATTGGGTATGACCTTAATATTAAAACACTTGAACATTCATGAAATTTATTTACCTTGGTTTTTTTTTCTGTTGACTCAGATACATTCAATGACTTTGATAACCCCGAGAAGACACCATGTCCTACGCCTTGCTACATGAACACCACATGTGAGTCGTGTACATCACAGAAATGTATGTGGTGCAGCAATCAGCAGAAGTGTGTAGAAACCAATGCCTATGTGGCCACATTTATATATGGCCAGTGTATGGAGTGGACCACAGACAAATCTAAGTGTCCAGGTAAATTTGGTGATGTCAAACCTAGAAGTTAAAGATAATCATTGAATTTTTTGTTCATTTTGAAGAAACAGATTTTCTGAGCAATGAAAGTACAAGAAATATGTTGAATACAATATTATGAATGCCACTCCAAAGTAACACATTATAATTTCTCTTTATAGCAACCCGCTGCTCTGATCTTCACTCTTGTAAAGATTGTCAGTCTAACCCTCTGTGTGGGTGGTGTAATGATCCTAGCAACACAGGGATTGGTCGATGTATGGAGGGCGGAGCCTCCGGGCCTGTCAATCAAACTAATTCCCACCTCACTGACCTTAGCAAATGTCCAGCCAGTCAGTGGTTCTTTATCAACTGTCCAGGTAAGAAGACCAAAGAATAATTAGAATCTTTCATTAATTGTAAAAATTAATTCAAGTCTCCTCCATGATCCTTGTGCTAGATCTCAGATCCTTATTTGAACGCATTGTATTTTCAAGGGTTACATACTTGTATAGTGTAATTATTGAATATGAGATTAATTGTCAAAGAAATAATTTTTAAAATCTTGTTTCAATTTAGATTGTCAGTGTAATGGACACAGCACATGTCTGAATGTGACAGGAGTGTGTGACAGTTGTCAAAACATGACGGAAGGTAAGAATGGGAGAGAGCTGAGGAAGAATGGGAGGGGTGGGGTAAGAATGGAAGGAGGCTGGGTAAGAATGGGAGGAGGCTGGGTCAGTTAAACTGACACTGAATACAGAGGGTAAGTATGGGAGGGGGTGAGTAGGAATGGGAGGGGGTTCATTAAAACTGACATTGGAGACGTGAGAATTGGAGGGGGCTGGGTCAGTTAAATTTACACTGAATACAGAGCATCAAAGGGAGGGGGATCTATCTGAATACTATAGTAATGACAGCGTCTGGTTCAGAACTATTCAGAATTACTAATGACAGTAATTCTGACATCTTTATCTTGTAAATTATTTTAGAAAATGCCCTTTTCATCTAAATTCTCCTAAAAGAATAAAGTTTGATAAGACTCCTGGTAAAGTGTGAAGAAAACAACAAAATTACAATTGATTGTTTAATCCTTTTAGGCAAGTCCTGTGAGAGATGTGTTGATGGTTACTATGGTGATGCCAGTAATGGAGGCAGTTGTTCTGGTAAGTGTATCACTATTAGACATTGTAATATGTCAAGCATGTATGGATTTTCCTCCTGAAAAGTTTCAAATTATTAAATGAAACACAATCTAAACAAGGATACCAGACAGTGAAGCATTGGATTTACAAATAAAAAGATCAAGAAACATGAACCATGTCACCACTTGTAAAGTTTGTGTTTATTTTTAGCTTGTCAGTGTAACGGCCAGGCGGACTCGTGTGACAGGAAGTCGGGGGCGTGCTACTGTAGAACCAGGGGAGTGATCGGGGATAAATGTGAAAAGTTAGTATGGAGGGACAATACAGTTCAGAAATCTTAAGTTCTAAATTCAGAGTCCAGGAAAAATACTGACATGATACGTAATTTGAATAAGAGCCAAAAAAAAATTTTAAGACCAAAATGAGCAGGTATGCATTATTTTGAATGTATTTTTAGGTGTGATGAACCCCATAAATATTTTGGAAATCCCAAAACAGGAACCTGTTATTGTGAGTATTTTAAGACAGCATTGTAGTTGTGCAAGATTTATAAAATACATTGATAATTTGTGTTTTATCCTGGTGTAATAATAATATTCCATCAATTCGTAATACTTGTAAATCAGTTATGTCTTAATTAATACATAATTTGTAATGTCCTTTATAAGAAATTAAATATTTATTTCCATAAATACAATAAGTGATTTAAATTTCAGATAACTTGGTGACAGACTACCAGTTCACCTTTAACCTTTCTAAATCGGAGGACAAATCGTACACCCAGATCAACTTCATGAACATCCCGTCCTCCGTAAGGATAACGACGCTGAATTAAGATAAATGTCTAACAATCTGCCAAAAAATGTGCACAATTTGAAATGATTTTTTTCATAATAGCGATTTTAAAAATATTTATAATGTATTCTGTTTATGTTGCAGAGTGAACGTGATGTGGATTTTAAAGTAAATTGCTCTGGTGTAGCCTACTTAAATATAACAATGAAGAAAAGTAAGGATTTAAATTAAAAAGCAATTGATTATCATTGCAATTATAGAGTCAGTTGCTTTACTTTAAAAATAATGATGTGTTTACTTTGCCTGTTTGTAGAATCTCAGGGTGACCGGGAGACGATGATCGTCAAACAACACTCGTGTAATTACTTCAGGGCTAAGTTTGATCACGGGGAATATTCCTTTGGTCCCTCAGAAAACACTACATTCCTTGTCTATGTCTACGGGTTTAAAACCCCATTCTGGCTACAGGTTTGTCAAATTTGTAAATTCCAATGTTGGAACTTTTTGAAATGAAAGCTACTTTTAGTACCTGAGTCACGTGATAAAGAAATAGAAAAGAATATGTATGAGAAAAGATAAAAAAAATCCAGATATTAGTATATGGTACATGAAGAAAGAAAAAATATGAGTTGGACATAAATTTTGAATTAAATGATACAGAATATTTTTTAAAGGCTTTTCTATGATTGTTGTCCATCAATTTTAAATTATGCCAATTTTCTACAAGCACAGGTGAACACAGATTTGTTTTCCTTTCAGATCTCTTTCTCACAGTTTCCTAAGATAGATTTAGTTCACTTCTTTGTGACATTTTTTAGGTAAGTACACTCTCTATAATTTGACATACTTCACATTACCTGAGTGTATCATGAATAATTAAAATGAGGAAAACCTCTGTAGAATTTTGTATTTTACCGCAGCCTGGGGGTAGGTATTAAATGTCCTCTCAATGTAATGCATTCCAGAAGGTTCTTAAACAGATAGAAGTCACACCATGTAATGAGTTGATATTTCCATTTCAGTTGTTTCCTATCGCTGTTAATTATAGCAGCAGTTTTATACAAAATCAAACATAAGTATGACATCTACCGTCGCAGACAGGTGAGTGATGATTGATTCTTATTTACTCTTTATAACCCTTGGTTGAAATAATTTTGTAATTGTTTGAGAGTGAAGGTATACTCGTAATAACAGTTTTCAAGCAACCAAGGTTCAATTGTCTAATAATTTGTACCTAAATCAGAATTTTCATTGTTTTCAGCGTATGATGGTGGAGATGGAAGAAATGGCGAGTCGGCCATTCTCCTCAATCACTGTGGAGATCGACAGAAAGTATGATCCAGTCGGAGCAGAGAAAAAAGAAACAGATCTCAGAAAACGGAAAAAGGTCAGAAATCTCAGTTAATGATTAAACATTTAGCTTTTATTAAGGATAGAACTTCTCAAATAATTTACAAACTAAAAATAAATTTTTAGTATGTTATTAATACATATTAGTAGTTATTGGGTGAAATTACATTTACTTTTTTGGTTGTCCTTTTCAGACTAATACAAAACCCAGTCAGATTGCATATGAGCCATTAAATCACCAGAAGGCTGCAGTTATATCACTGATAGTCCAACTACCAACAGGGGATGATGAGTGGACCCCTAATGGGGCCTCAGGGGTAGCCGTAGCTAGTGCTTTGGTCACAGTTGGTAAGTTTATACCCCTAACGGGGCCTCAGGGGTAGCATTAACTAGTGCATTTGTTACAGTTGGTACATCTAGACCCCAGTGGGGCCTCAAGGGTAGCCATAGCTAATGCTCTGGTAACATTTGATAAGTGTAGATTCCATATTGGGCCTCAGTGACGCTAACAGCAATTGTTCTGACCACAGTTTGTCTGGACCATGAAAGAGATTTAGACAGCAATCACTGTTTCATTAATACATGTATACAATGAATATCCTATAGGGTGTAGCTGTGAATCGTACTATTCCTTGTATGAGTTGCAAAATTTTCACTGACTTATGAATTTGAATTGTTATTTCTTCAGGCCATCATCGAAAGCAAAGCTTAGAACACGGAGGAAAAGGGGACAAAAGTAAACATAAAAAAGTGTTGTTTCCTGGGAACCAGGATATGTGTGTCTAGTATCCGGAACACTCCCAGGGATCCACCCTTGTGTTCACAGGGAGTGATTATTGTGTGTGACTGAAAGGGAGAGGTTATTATTCAACCTTCCTTCATGAATCTTACAAAAAAATCAAGGTGCTAATGTGAAATTACAACAAAAAAACATACTTTTTTCATCACTTTCAACAATGCAGTTTTACTTACAAATAATTACTTACTGATAGTGTATATTGTGTAATATATTTAAAGATTTTAAAATTTGTTACAAAGACATATTCCAGTGTAGGACAGTCTTTATTTCCTTTATTTTTTCTTTAAATGGAGTCTGACTTGTGTCGGAAACATTAAGGGCGAGTTTGTTTCTCAAAAACTGGGTTTAATTTTGAACCGGTTTTGTAAACTGTTCATTTGTTCCACAAACTAGTTTTGAACTAGTTTAAACCCAGATCTGGTTTTCCATTTGTTTTTTGCTGTAACTGAAACCAGTTCGTTAAACCAACCAAACCACCTCCGGTGGTGGTTTATTCGGTTTACGAAAGGGCGAGAAGTACTCCAGTATGGCGGAGATGAAAGATTGTGACTATTTTAATAAAGAAAAACAGATATAAATAATTGTTGACTAAATGCCACATTCTGATATTTGATGTTTTATATATAGGGCTTCAGAGAATAGATAAATGCTGCATATTGAAAATTAATAGTGTTTGTATAATGAACAGAATATGTTAAAATTTTCCTTTTCAAAAATAAGTTTTGAATCATTTGGACAAACTTCAACATGTATGGTAAATTGTAGAACATACTGTAAAGACAGCTTAAGTATTGGGAATCTAAAGAGCAATTATAAATACTCGGGGTTTTTGTATTTCCATGTGTTAAAAATGTGGAAATTGTTCATTTGATTAATCTTTGAGACATTAAAAATATAAATACTGCACTTTAACTATAAGTAAGATAATCAAAGAATATAAAAACGTCATAATTTCTTAGATTCTTTTATTACAAAAAAGATTTTAACAAATTGATTTGCATAACGCCATCTTGTATAAACTGTTCATTTGTTTTACCGAGGTAAACCGGATTGAAATTTAAACCAGTTTGAAAAACTAGTTTTAAACCTTAAACTAAAACCTCAGCCAGTTTATGTGCAACAAATTCGCCCTAATTGTGTATCTGAATGAGCATGGTTGTTTTCTAGAGATGAGTCAAATTCTCACTAGTCATTTGATCTTGATTTTTCACAATGCTCATTATTTCAGTCATGTTTTAGATGTATTTTTTAGAATTGACAAACTTTAACACTCTAAGTTACCATAAGTGCTATCAGTTTCTTGTACTTTTAGTCAGTCTAGACATGGATTGTAAGGTTCAGAAGTCGATTGATTCTTGTTACGTTTAAGTGGCATTTGATACGACCACCCTCAACACATTTTACCCTTATCATCGTCCCCATGTCATCTCCGTAATCCTATTTTTCTGTGATATTTTTCCCATTTTATTTTGTTTTTTATTTGTAAATACTTCTTCACAACATTTCAAAGTATGATTGTTGTATAATATGTAAATAACAATTAACTTTTGCTGTCTGTTGTACATAGAGACATGTTTTTTGACTCGATGGCTTTGTCACTATTTTCACAATTATTTGTATGGTACTTAATTATGAAAAACAAATATGATTTACAAAACGGAAACTGAATTCCTAAAATTAAACTCTACATGTAAGTAATATCATGTAGTAATGATCTGTAATGTTTGAGCCCGTTCTATGTATTTACTATCTGTTGAGAGATGCTTGATTTTTTACAAGCCCTTATATTCAATCTTGTCCTCAATTTTTTCATCGTAGTCATTGATTTGATAGCAGCCAGCAAAGCATTCACAATCCTGTGTTTGTCAGGTGGCCAGATCTACCAAAGTCCTGTACAAAATTCTGTATAATCAAACACTGTAAATACTGATAATTTATTGATTTTATTGATTATTGATATCTAATGTTTGTGAATGTGAGAGAGAGAGAGAGAAGGGAGAGAGGGAGTTGCACTTGAAGTGGTGAGTAATATGATGTTGTTTACATATCTTAATTGTGATAAATGATGTGATTTTTTTCCGTGAATTTTACATGCATTCCACTCATGGATTATCTATCTATTTTTGATGTTTTTACAAACTCAAAAAGATGCATTATTAAATTGGAATCAACATTTATCAAACATACTAGTACATATATTGAAACAGACTGGAAAGGAAATGTAAACTGTAAAGTCATGTTCAAAAAGTGTCAAGTTTTTGTTATAATTAGAAGTATTAATAAATAGAATTTTTCAAAAGTTATTTTCTTTTTGAGAAACTGTTTTAAATGGTCCTTAGAAATATATCATTTTGATCTACTATGTTGTTTATATATGTTTCCTTGTAATGGGGTCATATTTTAATGACATATTATTAATGTTTTTGTCGTGTACCGGACACCGGGGTATGTGTTAACTAAAATTTTCCTGTTGTGTTAGGGCCCATTTTTATGGTTCAGCGTGATATTTTTTTCTTAATGCTAAAGTTCTGCTTATTTACATTTTAAATTTGTCATTCGTGAAAATGTTAGACATTAATTTAATAATGAAGTCCATTCTGTCTTTACTTTTAACAGATTTTGTTATGACAATGGCAGTTTAATCGAAAACAAATCAAAGTAATATAAAGGATTATCTACGTTTGATTTGAAAATTATATCCTGTTCATTTTATGTTTACTAAGAAATTCCATGTAAATTATTTATTGATTGCGAATGATGAGAATGCCTCCTGGCATTACATGAGAAATGATCTGCAAGTTTTCACCAACATATGACTGCGTGAGAGAGAGAGAGAGAGAGAGGGCTGTACATGTGTTCTTTGCTTATCTGTATGTTGTAGTTGATCACGTCGGAGTACACATGTAGTCTATGGAATGGTGGAAATAAACAGAAAAACAGATATTTTTGTCTTTTTCTTCGCATTTATGTTCCAGTCTTATTTGCCTACCAGTGAATGAACTCTACCTGCTGAAAATGAGATGAATTTTTTTTTTCATATTAACCACTGGAATTCCACATTGGCTTTGGTGTTCCTGAAAAGAGGAGTTAAAAAAGATTTTTCCTTTATGAATGTGTGAGCATCCACTGTCTTGTGTATAGAGGGATCAGCAAAAAGCAATCAAAATATTACACAGGAATACATGTATATTGGGGGGGGGGGGAACAGCTGGGTCAAAGTGACTCAGATGAGCATTGTGATCCATGGACTTCTTGTTTATAAACAGTACACCTTAGGTGGCATATGATACCCCCATAAGAAAAACTGGTGATTATCAATTACTTCAGATGCACTATGTCTGAAGACTTCAATGAATTATGGACAGATCCAGATGTTTCTTAATCACATACTGAAAGATCCAATCAGAACAAGCTCATACTATAAATAGCGAAATTGCGGTTAAAGTGAACTGTTTTAGTATTGATACAAGAATTTCATGCAATGATCAGGAGTCAATGTTTGATGATTCTAGGTCCAACATTTTTCTAATGACACTGTCCACCAGCCAGCTCTATGTCTGTATCAGTTTTGTTTTCCACTGACCAAATCACCATTGATTCACTTGCAAGCCAGACAGCCTTTATCTTCTACGAGAAAGTAAGACTTCCAGATTGCATCCACAGAAACATCATCCTTGCACATTTTGTTGCGGATGAACTTGCAGCAGCTACAATAACTGGGTCAAATTTTCGAGGTTTAAAGGGAAAAAGAATATTGGTTTGTGGGAATTTGATTTTATTGTTGGACAAGGTTAAGTAGTAATGCATATAAAATATTACATTTCGTGGTGGACATAAATTCATGGGTCTTTCCATACCTCAAAAAACAACAATAATTAACCCCCATGAAAGTTAGTGATTTTACAGTACTTAAGAACTAACCCTGCCTTGTAAAATTTCCTTGAAATACAGACATATGCTTGTGTCATGGCGGGGTTCTACTCAAAATACCTAGGCATGTACATACATGTATAGATCAATTGCTCTTTTGAATTGAAAAATCTCATACCACAATTCAGAAAAAGATCTCATTATAATTTAACTGTTTATTGAAAATAAGCAGATTTCATATAAACATTGATGCAGCATTGTATAGTTAGAGAACTCTATTTGCTGCCAGCTCAACATAGCAATGTCACCTAAGATCCAACTTTTTTAAAAAATCTATCATAACCATTGAATAAGTTATTGCTTGATGTGGCATATAAATCTTGCTATAGATTCAGATATGTAATAAATATACACACTTTTCTGTTTGACATTATGACACGAACCTTAAGAGGACCAACTGAGGTTCCCTGTACTATTCCATCTAATGTAATTGTATTCTGAGATGGTCCATAAATATACCCAGACTGTAAATCCTGACACTTAACATGTGCACGGATGTCAGTGTAGGTTATACCTGGTGTAAAAGTCAAATTTTTCTACTTGACTGTTTTTAAAACACAAAAACCCCAGTTCGCTCTCTTACAATTTACAATGATTACAGTTTTCATTAATTCACACACTTCTTTTGATTACAAGCAAAAGCATGACAAAAATGTCACAAAACTAATGCTTCATGAGCTATGTTTCTATTCCAGAATTTAGACAGAAAATCCTATTGTTAAAATGATAAAACTTTCCTTTGTAACAGCAAAATCACTAAAAATAGTAGCAACTAAGTATCTTTATGTAAGTACTCATCAAACTATATATGAACAAAAGGCAAATTTAAAATTAAATTAATTTTATTATAATGAACATGATACATATGAACTAAATGAGCTAACCTGAGTAATAATGTTCAAAGTGGGGCTATAGAAATGAGGTTTAAGGTGCCCTCCCCCTTTTTTTTACTCTTCTTTGGGTCACACTTAAAGAAACTTTGTGTTATTAAAATCTAACACATCTCAAGTCGACTGTAGCTCTTACATTCTATTCAGTTCCCTTCCCATTGTTTTCCCCTATATGCTTCTCTTGACAGATTATACAAATTAAATAACACATTTTAAAATGGAAAAAAAAAATGGTTAGCCTCCTGGGGAATACAATATTCACCAAGCCAAAAGGTCGAGGTGAATATTGTTCTTAGAGAAAGCCTAAATCATCATATTGACTTCAAAAACAACAATAATTGTAAATTATATGATTCAATAATTATTAGTTATAACAAACCTAGCAAGCAAAGTTTTTTTTTAACCTTTCCATTTTTCTTGACTGTTCACATTTGTGAAAGTCCTTATTAAACACAGCATTACAGAGATGCAAGAATAAGAATAACATAGTCTATTGTATTAATTTGAATTTCTAAAATTAGAATTATAGACCTAAGGAAATTTTTGCTAGATTTATGTCCCAATCAAAAATTAATTAAGACGTGGTTGCCAGTCATGATCAAAAGTGATGCTAGTTTAATTTACAATATTCAGAGTTGTTCACCAATTTAGGCAACATATTATTGTATGTTTTATACATTTGACCTTCATCACTTAGAAAAATTTCAACAAATCTATAAATATACATATGAATTGCCAAATTGTTAGCATTAAACGAGACATTGATATAAGAAGCTAATTACATATTAAGACTTTACTCAGTTTATCCTGAAAATACTGAGAAAATAAAATTATTACAGTATCACTGGTCTGAAAAGTGAATACAAATGAATTAACACAGTTATAAAAATACTGAGAAAATATCAGACAATGGTATCATAATATCACAATGTCACCTATACTTGTCACTTTCTACAGTAACTTTATCAACCAGGTGCAGATTTACAGGACACATCACAGCAGAGTTATCTCCCTTCTGCTCATTCTCTACTGTACGAGATGATCATGTGACCTTGCTATTTGTATCCTGTATAGTTTACAATAAAACTGTTGGGATAAACTTCTAAACACTAGTTAAATGTTTTTCTTTTTGTTTGATTTGTTGTTTTTTTCTGTTGGCAATGTTAGGTCCAGATAAGTCCACGCATACATGTATTACTATCTATAGTCACACAGACGATGCCGTGTTTTCCTCGGTAGGGTAGTCTTTGATAACGCGATTTGCCTGGCGTAGATACTGCTGTTGTTTATAGTAAATCTTCAGTGCTCCTTTAAGTATTGTGAAAGCTACACCACCCTAGAAAAGAAAAATTGATAATTTACTTTTTTTTCATTAATGAATAGTGAAATTTCATGTTGTACTAAAAACAAATTGATTTCAGAGTGTTATGAATGTGCTTAACATATTCTGCCTTTGTTAGTAAATGACATTTGTTTCAACTCTGATACAGCAATGTACTTTAGAAAGAACGTTATAGAAAGAAAATGAAATGTCGATTTTTTTCTTTTTAACTTTTAGAATGTAGAATTCTGGACTGTGTTTCTAATGTTTTACTGGTATCTATTTTTGATTGAGTGTTTCTATCTACCAGTAGCGTGCGCTGGAAGTTGGAGTGGACAGATCCAAGCATGATTTTCCCCATGATGGTGGCAATGGTTGGCATGATGAGGGCGCCACACAACATCCTTGTGGCGGAGATTGGATCTGAGAGTGGTACTGTCTCCGCAGGAACACGCAGATTTCTGGCACCGACTTAAAATAATATCCAATAATTAAAATCTACCCAAAATAACATCCAATAATTAAAATGTACCAAAAATAACATCATTAAATTAAACTTCCTAAAATAAGAACCATTTATTAAAACCCACTACATGTAAAAATAACATAAGTATTTCTTTTTTGTCTATTTTTACCCTACTGAAATTAGGAATGTTAAAAATCATGAAAATAGAGCTAAGATCTTTACATTGTTAAACTAAATCCATGTCTTTAGAAGAACATATGTGCAATTACTTTTCTAAAATAAATGTTCATGACCCACATTAATTAACCTAATCTTGAAAGTGTCTATGATCTCAATGCAAGTTATGGTTATAGTATACATTGTACATGTATTTGCAAATAAAATGGTTTAAAATGTAAAACTTTCCCCTAGTGAGGTATGGGGGGTGATACACACTGTGGTATGAAAGTCCACCAGCTCTCTCTCTCTCATCAGCTGTATATAATAATAACCTAGATAATCTGACCCAAAGTTATCTCAGTAGTCTAGACAAGCCTGTCATCATCAGATGTGTATGACAAAGTCTGTCCTTTATAATATCACAACTATATTATAAGTACTTCATATGTACTTTGTACTTCTCTTGGTACCTATGGCTATAAATTAAATACTGCAGTGCCTATAGTTATAAGTACTGCAGTATGTTACTTGACACTCTGTATCAGTTGATCATAAGTCTAAATCACAGTACTTGTGCTTAATTAAACAAGAGATGTTTGTAAAACACTTATGCCCCCTCCCCCCCAAATAACTGGAATTTTTCTAAGTCCAAGGGACATAACTCTGTCAAAAATGGCCTGATTGTACCCAAAACAGAACTTCACCTAGATATTTTTATGATAAATCTGTAAACTGATTTTCATTTCAGTATGTGAAACCTCTGAAGAAAATGCATGGAAACTGCAAATAATTGGAGTTTTTCCAAGTCCAAGGGGCATAACTCTGTCCAAAATGGTCCGATCATATCCAAACAGAACTTGATCTAGCTATTTTTATAATCTGTATACCAAATGTGCAACTTCTGCCAAGAAAATGAATGGAAACTGCAAATAAATGGAATGTTTCTAAGTTCAAGGGGCATAATTCTGTCCAAAATTGCCCGATCATACCCAAAACACAACTTGATCTAAATATTCTTATGATAAATCTGTATATCAATTTCATTTCAATATGTGCAACTTCTGCAAAGAAAATGAAAGAAAACTGATGGTGGACTCACAGACAGGCCAACAAACAGACAGATTGACAGACAGCAGCAAAGTAATATTCCCTCCCTTCTTCGAAGAGAGGCAAAACAAATCTTGCATGAAAAAGTTAAACTATGAAAGTGAATGGAAGCAAAATCTTCATTTCCACTAAAAACAGAATACTTCAGAATTCCCTAACTCCTGACACATTGTACTTAATATGGTTAATATTTCAGTAGCTTACTAATATGTAGGGGACTGGATCAGGCTACACCAGAAATAATTCATATCTTCTCACACATCTGGGAAATGCAGACTTTTTAAAAGCCCTGTTATTTTTTCTCCGTTTTTCACAAGCTGACTTTTACTGTACTTTAAAAAAAAATGATTACTTTGTAAAGTTTGGAATTTAAAAGAAGGTTAGTGTAGTATGAATATTTACATAAATTACATTATTATAATGGTGACTTGATCCAAGTTTGACAGTATAAGCTCTTCAGAACAAGTTACTGTTATATAGTACTTCTGGTTACAGCTAAATTTATCATATAACCCGGGCCCATATTATAAGCTAAATATCATTAATTAAATTCTAGATTATTGTCATAATTCTTATGGGAAATGTAGGGGGGGGGGGAATATTTTAATTACGTACTGTTAGTAATACATTATCAAACAGTTTCTGAGAGTGATATGGATTTCGTACAAACAGAATGTAGTGCTTTTGGAAATGATTGCCAGAAATCAACAGTAAAATTGGGTGATAAGAGTTGGGTATATATAGAAGTGATGCTGAATTTATCCATTACAGAACAAATAACTGCACGGCCTCACTGCTAGCGAATGAGCTGATCCCTTCAGAATCTCCTGATATTTGTCTTAGTCAGTCAGACCAATCATTAACAATAAATCAACAGATTAAGATGTTCAGTGGTGCACTTAAGCACCTTAGTATTGTGTTCCTCCTCAGTCCCCCTTGAACTGGAATCAAAGAATGTCTAACACCCTTAATTCAGCTGCATGCACCAACAGAATCTGTACCATGCTGGGTCGAGGAAAACCTCTTTACAAAATTAAAATTCCTTCTCAAAATAGCTAAACAAAGTGGATAGGAAGATGATTTCTGATTATCTAAGCATGATTCCCATTGTTTACTTTAGACTGATTCTGCACTTTCTAATTTTTCTTTGTTGCAGCTGATCAAACTCTACTTAGAACACTGAATTCCAGACAAGCCCAGCTGCTGAGCTAGGATTACCTCCCTTTGACATGCTATCACAGAGCAGTGAGCAAAAAATAGCATCCTAGCTAAGCTTAAGCACAGTCACTGCTTACATGACATGTGATTATGAAACATTTTAAAATCAAACTTTTTATAATACTTTATTGGAAAATTGAGGTCAATTGGATAAAATACACTTGTATATGGCAATTATTGTAATTAAAACAATATACATATACACAGTCCTGCTCTGTAATTTCATATTACTCTATATTCAAACTTATCACTAACTGCATGTGTAGTCAGTTTACTTCACACCTTAAAATTATTGATACCCATAAAATTCAGTGCAAATCAAATGAAATCAATACTACTGCAGCTGCCAACTAACATTAAGTTTATTGCACAGATGCACTAAGTAGCAATCTGACATTACACTTCATCAATGGGTACTTTTTTTTACTAAGATAAGGTCTGGATTCCCAATTCTAGGATATACCAGGTTGTACATGAATTTGTGACCTTGACCTTTGAGTGACTTCCCGGCAGTAAATTAAGCAGACTGTTACCTTTAATTCATAAGACTTGCTTGATGTATCACTGAGAAACGCTCCCTGTCTGGAGACTAAGAGACATAATATCTGAATTTCCCTCTATAAGGAATTAACTGAGAGATAAGTAAATGGCCTGCTTGTACTGCCCTCTGGGGGATGATAATTCTGCAGCACCTCTTATCTATCTCTGATCTGTGAACAATCTCCTGTCACATGCCACTGAAAACTATACCCTCTTGAAGTCTACATATCTTTAGCTCTGACAATGCCATGATTTGGTTTCTTACAAACACTAAAACTCCTATTTGCATTGTCCAATCTTTTTTCATTAATAGGTATCAATTTGGTGAGTTTAGTGTGTTTTTCTAATATAACCTATATAATGTTGAAAAGAAGGTAGCAGCAACTTTCGTTTTAAATACAGTTAAACTTGCTTTCATAGAACTTTCTTATAAGGAAGCCTCAGTAATAGGAAAACATTAGATGAATCCCATAGAATTTTCCTTATATGGATATAAAAATAGATCTCCCAATGACTTCCTTATAACCATGTTTTACATAAGATGGTACTGGATACCATCATTTTTATCTCTTGACTTTGACCTAACAGTTCAACTTGCATTTTAGAAACTTCAACCTTTGCTATAAGCTGCTAACCCTTGGTATATATGTGTCACAAACATATTTTTTGTTTATAAAGGGTAGGCAGCTGAGGGTGGGGTGGGTGATCAGGTTTATGATTGCTCCCAAAGTCACCCCTGTTCTGACGGCATCATTTAATTCCTGTTTGTCAGGTAAGCTATTCAAATTACCGGTACAAAATATCTCTAAGTAACTGCTAGACAATATATGGCAATTCATCACAATTGATCTATCATTTAGTAAACTTCTTTGACTAAAATGACTGTGGTAATGTTTTCTTACTACAATATACCTTTTACAGTTTCCTTGTCATTTTTTTCAGATAAGGAGAATATTTAACCCAGGTATTATTCTTAACAATTCTTCTGTATAACATTTAACTACACTTTGTAATCTAAGTTGTAACTCTGCTCTTGATTACTTGATCAATCTATTAATCAATTGTTCTTGGATTAAAAATGAATATTGTATGAACTGCATGTATATCACTCTGAGTCCTCTAGATGCTCTTTTCCTATTGTTTCTGTCAGATGATGATAAAGAGTTTTACAGACTTTCATTTAATCACCCCGACACTGGGAGAGCTGACTATGGCCAGGGTAAGGATGATGAAAATGTTCGTGTCACATTCTGAAGGTCACAGCAGATCAATGAACCTCAGAAGAAGAATATTGATGTCTGAAGCCCAGGGTCGTAACAGACAGCATTCTGTGAATGAAACCTAATAGAAAGGCTTCATTCAATGTACCCTCACTTTTATACTGCACTGAACACACAAATTGATTTATTCATATTGACTACAATATCAGATACAAAAGACTCTCCTTTCAGAATTCTAATGTAGAGACTGTATATGTTAAATGATATGACTTTATTTTTAATGTTTACTGGTGGTATAGAAAAATATATCAATAGCATGAAATTTCTCCTGAGAATACAACACAGAATGGAATGAATGAGAACCATGCTTGAAATGCAATAAAAAAACATTTTAACAATAACATGTACATCTACTGAACTATCTATTTAAGTAGATTACTATGCAGTATCTCCTCAGTTTTAAATACTTTTTGTCACAGATAGAATTCAAACTGATGCATCACAAATAAAAGTTGCTATAAATAATAGTTAACTTACAGTAAATAGTAATGTCAAAGGTCACAGTAAAGGTCAAGGTAAAAAAATTGTCTAATTCTGAACAATATATATCAGGTAAAACAATGATGCTTTAATAGCTCTTACCTACATGCATCAGCAGAGGAAGTTTGACAAAATACTTAGAATAGTTTCTTTGAAACACAAATTCAAGATAATAAAGGTCAAGGTCATAACCTTTGTTGAATAGTTCTTACCAATATGTATCAGTATGTGAAGTATTAAAATAACTCAAAGACATTTTTTCTGAAACTGAAGTGTGATGGGTGGAGAGATAAATAGATGGAAAGATGAAAAGACAGAAGACCAAATGGATGATAGACAGACATGACTCTGTCCTAGTCTTATTAAAAATAGGTCTTTAGTTTAATGATATGAACTGAAATTCTGAGGAAGGTGCCAGTAGACATGATGTAGGGGATGGTCAGTTAAATGTAGGTAAAACACTTCAGTTATATACAAAGCATAAATGGAGAGCATGTTACAATACACTCCCAGAAATGTTCACAGACAATAAAAACACCCAATGGAATTTGGAACTCAAACTCTTATTCTAAGGAGTGGGTATTCCAAAAATCAATTTATAGCGATTTGCCTACGTGTAATAACTAGTCAACTAAGGGCCTCCTCAGCCTTTATTAATTTCCCTAGTGAAGAAAACAAAATAATTAGGTGTCAAAGTGCCGTTTGTGGTTAAGACTATAGCTGCAGTGTTTTATGGGACTGCAGTGGTAGCACTGGGGATAGTATCATTAAGTTATACTGAAACAGACACTAAGTGGTAAATATACACCTACACCCACAAATGTACATCTCTATACCTAACAGGTACCAGTAATGAAAAATACAAAAGAGAATGACCATGGCTATCTATTTAACACAAGTCTACAGGTAACAACATATACGGGTATCAGTCCAACATGTAAACAAATCTAAATGTAACAGTCCTACATGTATCCAACACTACAGGAAACAGTCGGAGGCCTAACTAACAAACTAACCTAGGTACCAGACCTACCCATCTATAGATCTACAGGCTTACATGTAATCATATCTACAGGTACAGACAACATCAAAAGATCTACAGGTTTAAACAATCCTACAGGTAAAATATCTACTGGTAACCACACCTACACCTAACCACTTTTACATGTAATAGTCATATAATTATGTAACCACTCTGACAGGTAACAGTCCTACAGGACATATTACATAACACATAACTTACCACTGGATAAGATGATGGTCACATGACTTACCACTAGATAAGATGATGGTCACATGACTTACCACTAGATAAGACGGTGGACATATTTCTTACCACTAGATAAGATGGTGGTCAGATGGCGGTCACACGACTTACTACTAGATAAGATGGTGGTCAGATGGCGGTCACATGACTTACCACTAGATAAGATGGTGGTCACGACTTACCACTAGATAAGATGGTGGTCACATGACTTACCACTAGATAAGATGGTGGTCACATGACTTACCACTAGATAAGATGTTCTGTAGGAAGGGGATTTTGGCCACATGCTTCCTCCACAGTCTGAGAACGTAGTCCTCCCAGCGACACATCTTACCCAGGATAAGCACCACGGGGATGATGGGAAGGCAGATCAATAAAAAGATTGGATCCACTCCCTCCATTACATTTAGACCCTCCTTGTGACCCAAAACCTGCAAAACACGAATGTATATTTTGAAGAGAACATAATTAAATATAATACAATGTACAGACAACATTTTGAGAGCAATCAAAAAAATAAATGTGTAGCATTGAAGACAAGGGTCAAATAACTGGCCAAATGTCATCACCCTGTCCTACAATTACTCCATAACATTCAAGGAGAACATTTACTCAGTTCCTTATCAAGAGTCAATAAGTTTTTTCCTTTCTTTATTTAATGCTGGGGAAAGGGGAATGGGGAGGGGGAATCCAACACCAGATACTCCTTAGATAACATCTAAATTTTACGATCAATACATGTATTCTATGATCTGTAGTCATTATCATGAAATGACATGTTGAACCTTAAGCCACATGGATGACATGTAATGGCTGATGGCCTTGATGCTTTGTTTGTGTTGATTTGGGGATCATAAACATTTTCAGAATTCCAGTCAGACTGATTTGATAGTGGCCACAAAAGGCCCTAATAATCCCCTACAATAGCTGGACAAATACGCCTGATTTGTAATACAATCAGGGATCTTTTCTACTAGCCAGCCATCTTGCCAGTGTAAGCTTATGAATCCCTTATCCCGTGAGCAACTGAAAGATATCAGGAATCTCTTCTGGATGAGCCACTGTCTTTACAAACAATAGTATCTGCATTTTGATCAGTGAGAATCAATACTGTTTAACATATCTGACACTAATTACTGCCCTACCTCCTAATCCATAATTAGATGTCACAACTTGTTAAAAAATTGGGACCAAAAATTACTATCAGTCCTTATATAGAATTCATCAGAAACATCAAAAACATGACTTTACCACATTTACACAACACTCCCCAAATCCCACCTCACCCCCTAATCAAAATACAACCTTCATAAACACAAATGTCAAAATCAAAAAAATAACCTATGCTTTATAGAGGTCCATGGGTCACAATGCTCACCTGATTATACATGTATAAAGGTCCCTCTGTTTTTCATCGGTGAACTCTTTTTCCTGTACATTCTTAATCAAGTAAAATATGGACCACATGTTATGACCCAACTCTGAATGGACCAGTGGTTCTATTATGTAAAATTACCGCTATATAAATTTTAAAAAAAATACCATGACTCTTTCAACAATGGTGGTGACAGACAATTGACAAATGTTGCTCAGAAAAGCTTACTTGTGCCTTCAGCTAAAAACAAGAGGCCCATGGGCCACATCGCTCACCAGAGAAGCTTTGACCATTCCATTCTTTACCAGTTTTCACCCTTGTAATACATATTGTTATACCCTTATAATACATATTGTTATACCCTTATAAATAGCCTTCTATATATTTATTATTAATAAAAAGTCCAACAAAAGAAATGTTTATTACATTGGTCTAACAATATCACTGTTGACTGGCCTGCCGGTCCAACATAAGAATTGTTAGACCGCAATGTCACTGCTACGTCACAAGTAATTGATAATCGTTCAATATCGGCAACACAGAAATATCCAAAGTTAAGAGCTGCAAGAGTTGTTGCAACCAGCAAGGTAAGGAAGGAAGGAAGAGTATGTTTTGTAATAAATAATATTTGTGATAAAATAAAAATATAATTAATTTTGTTCTTTCTCAGCTATTGTTATTATACTTACTGTCAGATTAAGCCATAATATTCCATATAAAGTAATTGATAATATAGTGTGTATTGATAATATCTTAAGTGAGCAGTGAAGGGTATAACAAAACAGTTACAGACAGGGATTCGGGCAACATATGATTTGTTGGACCTGAAGGTGAAAATGTTGCCCATGGCCTGCGGCCTCGGGCAGCATTTTCACCTTCAAGTCCAACAAATCATATGTTGCCCTCATACCCAGTCCATAACTGTATATTGTGACCTCACCCTACCCCACTGCTCATAATTAAGACAATTTGAAATATACACTACCCCAAGATGCTTCCACATAAGTTTCAGCTTTTCTGGCCCAGTGGTTCTTGAGAGGAAGATTTTCAAAGATTTTTCCTATATATTTCTATGTAAAACTTTGATTCCCCATTGTGGCCCCACCCTACCCCCAGGGGTCATGATTATTTAGAATCTACACTATCCCAGGATGCTTCCACATAAGTTTCAGCTTTTCTGGCGCAGTGGTTCTTGAGAAGAAGATTTTCAAAGATTTTTCCCATATATTTCTATGTAAAACTTTGATTCCATATTATGGAACCGCCCTACCCCCAGGGGTCATGATTTTTAAAATTTAGAATCTACATTACCCCAGGATGCTTCTACTTAAGTTTCAGCTTTTTTGGCCCAGTGGGTTTTGAGAAGAAGATTTTTAAAGTTTTTTCCTATATATTTCTATGTAAAACTTTGATTCCCTATTGTGGCCCCGCCCTACCCCCGGGGGTCATGATTTTAATAATTTAGAATCTACACTACCCCAAGATGCTTCCAAATAAGTTTCAGCTTTTCTGGCCCAGTGGTTCTTGAGAAGAAGATTTTTAAAGTTTTTTCCTATATATTTCTACGTAAAACTTTGATTCCCCATTGTGGCCCTGCCCTACCCCCAGGGGTCATGATTTGAACAATTTAGAATCTACACTCTCCCAAGATGCTTCCACATAAGTTTCAGCTTTTCTGGCCCAGTGGTTCTTGAGAAGAAGATTTTCAAAGATTTTTCCCATATATTTCTACATAAAACTTTGATTCCCTATTATGTCCCCGCCCTACCCCCAGGGGTCATGATTTTTACAATTTAGAATCTACATTACCCCAGGATGCTTCTACTTAAGTTTCAGCTTTCCTGGCCCAGTGGTTTTTGAGAAGAAGATTTTTAAAGTTTTTTCCTATATATTTCTATGTAAAACTTTGATTCCCTATTATGGCCCCGCCCTACCCTCAGGGGTCATGATTTTTAAAATTTAGAATCTACACTATCCCAGGATGCTTCCACATAAGTTTCAGCTTTTCTGGCCCAGTGGACCTTGAGTCGAAGATTTTTTAATGACCCCATCCCTATTTTTGTCTTTTCTTGATTTAATCTCCCCTTGTGAGAGGACCTGGCACTTCATTTTTACAATTTAAATTCCCCTTTACTCAAGGATGCTTTGTACCAAGTTTCGTTAAAATCGACCCACTGGTTCTTGAGAAGAAATTGAAAATGTGAAAAGTTTACAGACGGACGGACGATGGACAAAGTGTGATCAGAAAAGCTCACTTGAGCCTTCGGCTCAGATGAGCTAAAAATACATGGAAATGATAATGAACAATTTAAAGCTTGCTAAATATCAAAAAAACAGAAAATTTCATTCTGTTTATTATTATCTCCCCTTTAGCATCCAGACTGCTGTGGGAGTCTAATGACTATAATTAGGATCTTAACAAAGTTATATGAAAATGTCCAATCCTTTACTTCAGTCTTTTGAAAAAACTAAAAGGTTGAAGTCTGCAGAGAGAAATATGAAAGGCTAAATTATCTCCTTGTGTATTGATGAGGTAAACAATCCAACCTGTATTTTACAACTTCTTACAGGAAACTGAGATCATTGTAATTTATGGGGTCAACCCCCAGGTTAACCAAAATTTTACTTGTTCATGGAAATATATTTTGGTAGCTAATTTGCATATATCAAAGATTCAAAGAATATGTACATTGACAAAGTCAATGCTCAAGTGGTTGTAAATTCATGGGTGACCCCAAAAATCTAACAAGGGGCCCATGGGCCACATCGCTCACCTGAGCATTGTGGCTGGGAAAAGAATAAATGGGTTCATTATTGAAAAGTTTAAATCCAAAAGCAGTCCCATGACCAATCATGGCTACGCTATTCTTGAGCAGATGATTTTGTAAAGAATTTTCCTATATACTTGGATTGGCCATTTTGGCCCTGCCCTTCCCCCGGGGGTCATGATTTGAACTATTTTAAATCTACACTACCTGAGGATGCTTCCATATAAATATGAGCAATTATGGCTTTGCTATTCTTGAAAAGAAGATTTTTGAAAAAATTTTCAATATATTTCTATGTAAAACTTGGATCGGCCATTTTGTCCCCGCCCTACCCCCGGGGTTCATGATTTGAACAAACTTGAATCTAGACTACCTGAGGATGCTTCCATATAAATATGAGCAATTATGACTTTGTTATTCTTGAGAAGAAGAATTTTCCTATATATTTCTATGTAAAACCTTGATCGGCCATTTTGGCCCCGCCCTACCCCGGGGGTCATGATTTGAACAAACTTGAATCTACACTACCTGAGGATGCTTCCACGTAAATATGAGAAATTATGGCTTTGTGATTCTTGAGAAGAAGATTTTTAAAGAATTTTCCTATATATTTCAATGTAAAATGTTGGTCTGTCATTGTGGCCCCGCCCAAGTCGGCCCGACCCCCCGGGGTCATGATTTGAACAAACTTGAATCAAAACTGTCTACCTGAGGATGCTTCCATATAAATATGAGCAATTATGGCTTCGCTATTCTTGAGAAGAAGATTTTTAAAGAATTTTCCTATATATTTCTAGGTAAAACTTGCATCGGCCAGTGTGGCCCCGCCCTACCCCCAGGGGTCATTATTTGAACAAACTTGAATCTACACTATCTGAGGATGCTTCCATATAAATATGAGCAATTATGGCTTTGCTATTCTTGAGAAGAAGATTTTTAAAGAATTTTCCTATATATTTAGGTCTTTCCACCTTTCTGTGGAAAGACCTATTGATTTCCTTCTGTTTCTTTTTTTCCTTTTTATTAGGTCTTTCCACCTTTCCGTGGAAAGACCTATTGGTATTCTTCTGTTTCTTATTAGGTCTTTCCACCTTTCTGTGGAAAGACCTATTGATATTCTTTTTTTTTTTATTCTTTTTTTTTATTATTTTTCCGCAGCATGTTTTTGAGTTTCAAGATTTATCGAAAAGATTTATAGACCAAAAGAATGTACTTCGTAAATGATTTTCGCAGTTGACCCTGCGTATATGAACCTTGACGTCTCAAGGAGTTATGACCCCTTTCGCAATAAATGTTTGTTATCGTTTCTTCTCCGAAACCATAAAACGTAGAGTCACAAAACCTTTATTAATGT